GGCTCGAAGAGATGGTTTTATCTGCCCCTCCCTGATGCTGCTACTATAAGTTTATTTATTGTTCTGTCTATTGAATTCTATTTTTTATTTTTTTAAATAGTTTTAGTTTTAAGGGGTGGGAGGATTGGATTTGGGATAAGGAATGTTTTAAAATGTATGTTTTTATTATTGCTGTTCCCCGCCTCGATTGCGATGCAGAGAGGCAGGTTATAAATAAAATTTATTATTATTATTATTATTATTATTATTATTATTATTATTATTATTATTTGTTTTGTGTGTGTGTGTGTAGTTGCTCTTGGAAATAAAGGACAAGAAATGTTTGTGTGTGTATGTATACACATATACATATTTGTTTTCAGCTCATGGCGATCCCATGTTTAATCTCTTCATCACGTAAGGCTCTGGGGTCTCCTTTCTGCTTCTGCCTGAGCTGGATGGGACCCCTTGAACCATCTAAATCAGTGGTTCCCAACCTTTGATCCAAGAGGTGTTTTGAACTTCAGCTCCCAGAATTCCTGACTGTTGCCCAAGCTGGGTGGAGATTCTGGGAGCTGAAGTCCAAAATACCTGGAGAACCAAAGTTTGGGAATCACTGATCTAAATGGACTGAGCTGCCACCATCAAATGTTCTGATCCCCTCTTTCCCTAGTAACTCAGTAGGAAGTCATTTTGTGGTTCCACTTGCACTTTCCATCTCGGACACTGAAGAGACTTTCCTCAACCCAGTGTGGATATAAAACCAAACAAAAGGCATGTGAAAAGGAGTGTGTGAGAGACATAATTTTAAAGGAAAAGGCTTTATTCTAAGTAAGAAATCTCCGTTAGCAAAAGGTATCTCTCTTCATGAAGGACCACCTTCCCTTTAGGCACATTTAAGAGTTACCAATTACAGAACAGATTAGATCAGGGGGTCTCAGACCATTTACTCTTGTGACCCTCTTTACATCTACATGCAGAGGTTGCACCCCTCACCCAATGTATTTTATGAACTTTTTTTGTTTATTGTGCATATTTTCGTACATATATTCATGTATATTCATGAACATATTCATTCAGCAGTGTCCCATTCCAAGAATCGGGGCAGTGATGGGACGGATGGTAGAAGATGAAACCATAGTTTGGGATGGGCCCTGCCAGAGTGGACTCACCCATATACACATATTACCCAGCATTATTAAGAATTGCAAAGAGTTCTGGAGACAAACACTTATGCCCTATTGTGGAATTATAATTAGTCCTATGGTTGTTTTGTTTCACTTTCTAACTTTTGTGAAAGAAACAAGATGAATTCCAGTAAAACAATTTGAATGCAGTAATGAAGATAATTCAAAAGGTTTTTTGAACTTCCAGTCTCCACTACGGTATTCATATTCATAACATCCTTAGGGGGTAGACCACAATTATTCCCATTTTGCTATCCAAGAAACAAAAATATATAGTAATAATCTGAGTCACAAGTCTATCTTTCTGGACAATATTGCAGTTCCTTCCACAGCCTGTTTTACAGGAAAGTGCAGAATGATTTCCCCTTATCTTATTAGATGATGGGATTTTGCCAGCAATTCTATATCCCCTGGAATTAAGATCTCTTGAACCAAGTAGGAATAACTTCAGAGCAGACATATGTGCAATTGCTCTTTTTGAAGGGTTAGAGTAGATTTGGTTTCACAAAGAACAAGCTAGTTTTCCAGTGTTTATCAGATGAAAGGGTGTTTATTATTATGTGAGCATAGCTCCTCAAAGTGCACAAGAGAAGCAAGGAATGTGAACAAACATCTTCCTTGCAGGCTTGTTGGGTAATTAGTTCAGCTACAAAGTACATTTAGACCCAGATGGATTTAGCTAGATTGTTAGGTACCTTGAGCAATTAGGAGAAAGGTCAGAATATAAAATGAGGAGAAAAGCGAGCAATAATAGTAGTGGTGATATAACAAGATACTACCTGAAGTGATCTCTCCAAACTACAATCCATTTAAAGGCACTTTTGAAGCAGGACATCCCAGTGGACCAGATCCAGCTTGGAAAAATTAATGTGCATCTAGGACCCAACTAAAATAATGTACATAATTAAAAGCTCCACACCCTCAGTACATGGCAGGCTGCAACACATATATACACACACACACCAGCACTCCACACATTACAAACCTCCTCCAACAGCCCAAGCTATGCATTGATGATATAGAATTAATGATAATCAGATTATCATGTGCATCCATTCACTTTCCCAGCCCAACCTGTGGGTACTATGTCAGATTTCATTCATTAGGGAAAAGAGAAACATTCTTAGCAAGTTACTAAAAGGATGGCTGTTAGATACATTCATGGTTAAAACTCCCTCCATGTGTTTTAGGACTATTTGTTGTTTGTGCATTTTAAATGTCATAAATACAGCTGTGCTATCAGCAATAGAGGTCCTCCTTTCAAGGTGGTGTATGTCCATGCAAGTTGCTTAAATGGCCACTCAGTGTGTAGAAACTGTCAATTAGGAAGAAAAAAAGTGTTCCTAAGGATGACCTGGGAGTTTATTGCACTCACTTTTCTTAATGATCCGGGCACTGGCTGGGGGTGCGTATGAACATGCGTGATCAAGGAAAAATGGATTTTATCACACTCGAAACAGTCGGCCAGCCATCCCCATGCTATCGCTCGACCACAACCCATCCCTGAGCTACTCTGAACTGGCCAATTTTGCTCAGCCAGAAAGCTTACATCTTGCAAAATTGGCTGGCTCATCATGGCTTGGGGATGAGTTGTGGTTGGGCAATGGCATGGAGACGGCTTGCTGATTGTTTCGAGTGCGATAAAATCTGTTTTCCCTTGGTCATGCACATTCACACGTGTCCCCAGTCAGTGCCCAGATCATTAACAAAAGTGAGTGAAATAAACTCCTTGGTCTTGAATGGCCAATTAAAACCCATCAGCTAGACAAAAGATCTGTTCCTGTTTGAGATGAAAACCAAGAGCCATTGGTGTATTGCAGGACTCAATAGTAGATTTCCATATCCAAAGCTAACAGAATCAGGATTTTCTTCCTCCTCCCCCCCCCACTCCATGGCACCACAACTATTCCAGAATTCCCTGGAGTAGAGTGCAAGGGGAGAGCCTACATAAGGCTCAGTAGAAGCAGCAGAAGTACACTAATAGATCATGGCCAAAGCCTTCTAGAACTGATTTCTTGAATAGATCTGTAGTTCCTGCATTTGGAAGCTCTCCTAGGGGAAGCAGTTATTGAGACTATCAAGATGAGCAAGTGCTGTTTAAAATTTACCACGGCTCATAGAAACAGTGTGTTGCAGTGGTTTCAGCATCAGACTACAACTCTGGAGACCAGGGTTCCAATCCCAGCTCAGCCATGGAAACCCTTTGGGTGACCTTGGGCAAGTCACACCCTCTCAGCCTCAGGGGAAGGCAAAGGCAAACCCCATCTAAACAAATCTTGTTGAGAAAACTCTTTGCCTTAGGGTCATCATAAGTCAGAAATGACTTGAAGGCACAAAAATAAAATAAACCATGGCTTACCTGAGAAGATGCATGCAGTGGCCACAGTCTGAACTGACCCAACTAAAGACATGGTAAAGACATGGCACAACTGACCAGAATCCTATAGGTATAATATGCAGGCATAAGTGGTGGGAGCAAAGTTCCACATGCAGAACTATTTCAGATGCACAATTATGTACTTATTTATTTACATGGTTTAATATTTTTAATATAAAAATATTTTATGTTTTTATTATTAGTATTATTTAATTATATTTTAACTTTTGTAATTAATGTTTTAGTTGAATCTTTTAAAATTATTATAAAACACCTCAAATCCCATTTTGGGAGAAAGGTGGGATATAAATCTCATAAATCAATCAATAAATCATAAAATTATAGATTCGTTCAGTTGGAAAAGACTACAAGGGCTATCCAGCCCAACCCCCTGCCATGCAGGAATACACAATCAAATCACCCCCAACAGATGGCCATCCAGCCTCTGTTTAAAAACCTCCAAAGAAGGAGACTTCAACACACTCCAAGGGAGTGTGATCCACTGTCAAACAGCTCTTACTGTAAGGAAGTTCTTAATGTTGAGGTAGAATCTCTTTTCCTGTACCTAGAATAGCGTTTCAGTGTATAATGCACATTGTATACTGTCTGTACAATTTGTGCATTGTGTAATGAGGTGACAACTACAAACATCCACTTTTTCTCATATAATAATAATATAATAATAAATAATAATAAAATGTATTTATACCCCACCCCCCTGCAAAGCAATCGGGGCAGCTTACAACATTAAAATATATAAATACAATTCCCATCCCATCCCAATGCCCCAAACCTGCCCATCCCTAAAAAAGTATTAAACAATCACAAATTTTAAAACATGTTAAAATAGTGCATTGATACATTAAAAATGCCAACCCATTACAACAGGAAGAGGAGAAGGAGGGAAGGAGAAGAAGGGAAGGAGAGGAAGACTAACTCCTAAGGCCGGGAATCTAGTCAGGAAAGGCCTGCTGGAAGAGATTCGTCTTAACAGCTTTCTTAAAGCTACTCAATAATAATTTGATGGATCTCATCCGGGAGGCCATTCCATAGTCTGGGAGCAGTAGCCGAGAAGGCTCTCTGGGAGGTAGCA